CAACAAAAGAAGCTAGTCCATCGAGTTATTTACTTGAGAAATTTGGTAATTTAAATTAAAAATATATTTTTGTGAATAATTTTTAGTTACGTTGACAGAAAATGATTTGGAAGGTAAATATATTGAAGCATTTTTTGAATCAGAAAAAAATTGGAAAGAAATTATTAGACAAATTTCTTCATTTCTTTTATTTAAAAAAATTAATGATAAAAAATTAATTATTTTAAATAATTTAACAAAAGAAATAAAAAGAAAAGGAAAATCTTTTTTTGAAATTTTTGAGGAGGAAGAGGAGAAAAGAACAAGTGATAAAGAAATAAAAAATATTTTGGAAAATTATGAAAAATTTAAAGAAAAAAATAAAAATGAAACAAAAATTGAATTTAATTTTTTATTAAAATTGTTGGAATTTAATGAATTAGTTGAACATTTTGAATCAGAAATGAGTGGAGGAGAATACAAATTAAAAATAATTAAAGAAAAATTTTTGAGAATTGGAAATAATTTAAAAGATTTGGGAGAGGAAGAGGCTTTAAAAAAACTTGATGATACTTTTAAATCAAGTTTGGCAGAAATGCATTTGGAAAGGTAAATAACAGGGATGGCCCGCGTCCCACAAAATAAAAGACACAAGATTCACGAGATAAGAGATTTTCAAAAATACGAGATTTCACGAGATACGAGACACGGGATACAAGACTAAACTAATAAACCAATATAATTTTTACACATCCAAAAGGTTAAGATCATTTAATCATGATTCTGATCACGATTCGATTCTGAAAAAGATTATAACCGAACGGAATTTAGGTAGGATTTTATGTTTTTAAAAGAAAGCGACACGTAGCTCAAAGCGGTTAAATGAGACAATCTGGTATATTGGGTGTTCTAAAGTTGAAACTTTACTCGGCAACTTGCTAACAAAGTACCGCAGATTAGTAAAATTTTATTTAAGATTAAAAAAACACATATTGCATGGCATGTTTGAAAGGAATATAAATTCAATTAAAACAGAAAATGATGACAAAATGAATGAAAATAAATTCATTGAATTTAAAAGTAAATTAAGATATGTTCTTGATGATATGATGTTTAAGGAAATCGAACTTAAAAATCCAATTCTTCTAAGAATAGGTTTGTATTAACTAAAGACCTTCGATTTATAGAGAGCAGAGGTTGGTCGGAATTCCGATTTCCGACGTTTTTTCCTTCCGATTTCCGAGTTCCGACTTTTGAGCCAGTTCCGATTTCCGGCTCTTCCGATTTTCGACACCACTGACTGTTCCGACCAACCACTAATCGAAAGTATTTTTTCAGTATTCAATTTAAAATAAGGGATATATTCGTGAATTCCTGTCCCTCCTTATTTGACACATATACATTGCGTTTTAAGATTTGGTAGAAAAAACTGAACAAATTAGACGTTTTGGACAAATAATATTGGAAACGGAAAATGTTAAGGAAAGAGCTGAGATTTTAGCTTCACAAGAATTTGCAAATCTTATAAAAAATAATGAGGAAGGAAAAATCAAAATTAATGAATTTATTAAACGTTTTGAGGATAAAATTGTTAGAGGAATTAGTAATGAAATATTTGAAAAAGAAATTGACAAAGAAACTTTAAAAAAAGATTTTCTTGAAATTTGTGAAAAAGAATTACCAGAAAGTGGAAATAAAATTTATGAAATACCAGAGCCCTTGAAAAAACTTTTTAATAAAATTAGAGGAACAAGAACAAAGTTGTTAGATTTGTTTAATTCAAGCAATACATGGAATATTTTAAAGAAAAACGAAGATATTTCTTTTTTAATTGAATACGGTAACTTTAAAAATAATTTTCTAGTAAGAAACTAAGGTTGGCGGATCCTGGGAAATCTTCGGATATCCGGATCCGATATACGAACCGAAAATTACGGATATTCAGTCTTTTTTGGATCCATATATTCGAAAAAATTCGAATATAATAAATCATAAATTAACTTAAAGAATATTCCAGATTCAAAAGAATTAGATGAATGGATCATTTCAATATATTTATTTATAATAAATAATTATAAACTCGACAAACACTTAGAATATAATGTTAAGCTGGAAATACTCATACAAATAAGATGGCTTGATACTAATTTAGAAAATTATGTTGATAACAATGAATGGATAATTGTACGTAATTTTTTATTAGAAAGAATGGAAAAATATGAAAAGGAAAGTTTAGATAAAAGAAAAAATCTTGATGTTCATATAGTTATTATATTACATAAAATAAATCAGAAAATAAAAGAAAATAGGCCTTTCAATATTATAAAATTGCTGAAAGAAAATTTGAAGGGCATTATTAAACAAGCAAATCCAAATGAAGATGAGGATAAAAGGGATGAGGAATTTCTTGATAAAGTAAATGCTGAAACAATTAAAACTTTAAAAGAAAAATATGTTGAATTTCGCAAAATAATGAACGGTAAAAATTATTATTTTTAACAAATCTCAGGCTACGTTTTGTGACAAAAAATGAAATTAAATAGAGTGATAAAATCGCGTCCTAAAAGAAAATTTTTATATATGCCCTAAAGGGGTTAAAATATTTTTTTAAGTACTATAGCCTAATTCCACGTTGATTTTCGAGATTTGAGATCCCGATGAAGGAAGCAGTTAAAGACTTTGTTTTTTTCTTTTCAACTTAATATCAATGGAAATGTTTATAGAAAAATAGTTGATAAGGAAAAATAGTTTTGATTTAATCCATGAGCAATATTCTAGCCTAAAAGTTATACTTATCCTATAATTTCAATTCCAAGAAATGAATTCTATACAAAAGTCAAAGATGAATGCGCTCTTTACTCAAGAAGTATCACAACTAGATTGGGTAAAAAATATCAAAATTATAAATTATATTTTTAAATAATTTTAGTATTCACGAAGTTGTTACTATGTTAAATATCCTATAAAAGATTTTGGTGAGTTCGATTTCATAAATTATCATAAAATAAATATCTGTTCCTTCGGAATATACAATAATCAAAATTTCGAGGTTAAATTTCAGTCATTTTATATATTTTTAACTGATGAATTTAACTGATGAATTTTAAGATTTCACTAAAAAAAGCTGATTATTTCTAGGTTACTAGGTTATATTCGACGAATTTGAACGAATCAGCGTCTTAAATTAGCTATTTTATTTGTTATCCATTAGTACATAATGCCGCCTATTGAATATCTTTAGGAATTAAATATCTCGCTGATTTAAACAAATTTAATAATAAAAATTTTAATAAATTAATTTTTAGATCCAAGTGATGATTTTTCTTATATTAACTCGATTATGAACAAAGAATATAAAGATATAATATTTTATCTCACAGAAGCAGTTGTATATTATATAAATGTACGTAACAGAGTTTCAAGTTTGGATGGTGAACGAATTCGAGAATTTGATGAAAGAACAATGGAAGAACATGGTGTAATAGACTATTTAAAAATTTTAAGATCGCTACCAACTATAAAGATGATAGCAGGAGAAATAGATTTTGAAGGAGATGTTAATAGGAAATTGGGGATTGTTATTCCGAAATGGATTGAAATATTGGAAGATATGATTAATGAGGTAGTTTGTTTTGAAATAAAAGATAAACCACTACTGTTATTTTCAATAGGTTCAGTATTCCCAAATACTTATGTAAATATATAACTCTACTCACCCAGAGTTACGGAGTATCGGTATTTTCGGTAAATAACGAAACCGAAAAGATACCGATTCTTTACAAAATCGACCGGTACAGTACCGCCGGTTGAATTAACTTATATTATTTAATAATTATATTCTCTTAAATTGTTCGATTTAAAAAAGTTAATATTAATATTTATCGTAAAATAGTATAGGATTTTCAGAATGATTTGGAATTTATTGAAAGTATTATTTCAAATAAAATTAAATTTGAAAGTTTACAAATAAATTATTTGGAATGGTTAATAGGTTATTCTTCAATCGTTAGGAATCATTTATGTCAATCAAATGAGGAAGATGTGAAGAAGTTAAAGACGAATATAGCACAAATGTTTGGTAATGAAATGCTTCTCAAACTAGAAATTACACAACCGAATGCTTTATCAATTCGTCCGTATTCTTTTAAATAAATAAACGTTCCAACAAAACTTGTTTTAATTATACCTCGATATAATAACAAACTTAGGGGCCGAACAATCAGGTAAACGTCTGTGAAAATATTAGAGTAAAATAGTAATCAGCCGGATCTAAACTGAAAAACCGGGCTAATTTATGTCCAATTTTGTACGACTTTTATAAAAGATTTTCATTTTGGTTAATTCGTGAACATAAATATCCAAAAGTTTTTGACTGTAAAATTGTTGGTCACCTAAGAGAATAACAATTTCAATCAACCGCCTACTCTATCGGAAACGGAAATTAACTGTTGCCGATAGAATAAGAATTAACGAAGATAATAACTTGAATATAAAATTTTATTTAACACCTTAAATTGGGTAATTAAACCGTTTAAAAACAATGAAAAAGAGAATGAAAATAAATGTGAATTTGTAATGTGATTTTGTGTTTATACACGGAAACAATAGAGTCTCGGGCGTTCCAGACAACTAGTCCTTTCCAAACAATTAAAAAAATCTAATCTACAACCAATTTAAAATTGTATATTTTGCAGATTTAATGGAAGATTCAACAAAAATTTATCTTTATGAAAAGTTTTTATCAGGTCAAAATAACTCTTTGGATGCTAAAAATTCCGAATTACGAATAGCTTTGTCATTTTTAAAAAAAATATTTTTTAAAATTGTAAATGAAATAAAAGAAAATTTAAAGAAAATAAATAAAAATAAAATTGTTTTAGAGAATATTTTGAATGGAATAAAAGAATTTAATAATAATTTAACAAACAAATTACAAGAGGAAAATCCTCTCCCAAAATGTGTTTGCTTGTTAATTAGATTTAATATTCTTTTAATAAAAACTTTAAATAATGTAAAAGAAATAAATTCAAAATTATTTGATGAATTAAAGAAAAAAATTGAAAAAATTAAAACAAAAAAAGAAATGTTAACAAATACAGAAAATTTGGAGATTTGGGAAGGGAAAGAATGTGAAGATGAAGGGGAACAAGAAATATCATTTATTGAACAACGAGGATTTTTACAAGAAGAACATTTAGAATTTGTTAAGAAAAATAAGAATATTTTATTAAAAAATATAGAAATGAAAAAAAGAATGGAAATTTTAATTCCAAATTTTAAAAATATTTTTTATTTCGAAAAAAGTAAAGAATTTGGAGATAATTCAAAAATAAAAGAATATTTTATTGAAATAATTAGTAATACAAAAATTGATAAAAATAAAAAAGATGAACTGAAAAATTATTTTGATTTAATTTATTCGATAACTACAAAATGGATGGATAAATTAATTAATAAATTAACAACTAAAAAGGAGAGTGGGGCCTCAATTAAAAATTTAAGTTTAATTTGGAAAAATATTAAAGGACATCTTGGAATTAATTTAGAATATTTTAAAGAAGACAAAAATAAAATTAAAATAATTTTATTTAAAGAAATTGGGAGAATGTTTTTAAAAATTAAAAAAGAAATTAATTATTTAGAAATTCCTGAATGGATAATTGATGAAATATTTGAAGTAAATAAAAAATCTGAAAAAATTGATGAAGAAGTAATTGAGAAATTTGATGAATGGATTGATAAAATTGTTTTTGAAGAATTAAAAGGACAATTAGAAAATCGAGATGCTTGGACAGGAACTAACAAAAACAAGGGATTTGCCGTTAAATTAAAAGGTTAATTAAATTACCTTGAATGTAATAAAGGAACAGTTTATTAAAAATAACTAGGATAATGAGATTTGCCTTTTTGCCAAAAGAGGATGACACGTAGTTTGTGAATTGAGTGTCGGAGTAACATAATTAATTTTGTCAGAACGGATCAAGTTGATACTTTTAGTTTTAGTTATCCCCTGACCAAAGACTAATTTCCCTATAATTTTATGAAATAATAATGAGTTTTTAACATGTATAATCTGATACTAATTCAACGAACGATAGCATCCTTTCGATAATTTTCCAATCTGTTTTTTCTAATTTTTAGAGTTTTACGTTAACAACGATAAAGACACAATTAAGCAATTAACATTTATATTGCGATCATCAAGCAAGACAAAAGAGATTTTGGATATTTTAAATAAAGGTTTTGATGGTTTCCAAAAAGAAAAGCAAAATGTTGATAAAGATTTGACCAGATTTTCAAAAGAAGAACAAGAAATTTTAGCTGAAAAATCGGTTAAATTTTGATAAATACTTATATTAAGAAAAATTCACAAAAATATTTTTTTAGATAAATGAAATATTGAGAGAAATAAAGGAAAAAAAGCAAAACAAGGAAAGTCTGAACGAAAAATTATCTGAGTTATACAAATTGGTAAGTTATTAATTGTGTTAGTGGTTAGTGAATCAAAATTTAATGCATGTAAACTTTTAGGTGATCCATTTTTTCGATTTTAAGTAAGCCTGAGGATTTTTTAAAACAAACAGCACAATAATTATATATTTTTTAATTTATCATTTCCGAAAAAATTAAGTCAAGATTTCTTAAAAAATTTGTTTAAATTTTTTTTGTTATCAAATTCATAATAGATTATCGAAACCATTCTTTAACTCTGAAAAATTTTTGTATTGTATTACAATACAAAAATTTTTCAGAGTTAAAGAATGGTTTCGATAATCTATTATGAATTTGATAACAAAAAAAATTTAAACAAATTTTTTAAGAAATCTTGACTTAATTTTTTCGGAAATGATAAATTAAAAAATATATAATTATTGTGCTGTTTGTTTTAAAAAATCCTCAGGCTTACTTAAAATCGAAAAAATGGATCACCTAAAAGTTTACATGCATTAAAAATTTTTTGTATTGTTTTTGTACAATAAATAATAATAATTTACAATAATTGTATACATATTTCTCAAAATTTTTATTTATTTAGACTGGAAACTATAATATACTGATTACAAATATTTTAAATATTAAAATACTCGAGGATCCAACAATTGAAGGAATTGCTTTATTTTATTATGATAATCATTCAAATATTAAAATAATTAAAGAAAATTTTTTAGGAAACAAAATTTGTAATTTAAAAAGAAAAAATGAGTGTAATGATTTGTCTTTTTATTGTTACATTTGTCAGGTTATTTTTAATTATCAATTAATTTTAATAATTTTAAAGAATATTCGAGTAACAAAACTTGTAAAATCTCTAAATGGCTGGCCTTCAATTAAATTTAAATTTAATGGGCTTGAAGTTAATCTTCATTTGGCGTTAGTGAATAATGAAATTTATTCTTCAATTAATTCTAAAAATGAAAAAATGATTGAAGAAACGATTAAAAAATTTTTAAAATCAACAAATATCAATATGAACACACAGATTACAACTAAATTTTTATCTGGTAAATATTTAACATAAAAATTATTAGTACTTTAAAATTAGCAATACTTCATTCTGAGTTGATTAGGAGAAAAGTTTAGCAAAATTTTGTGTACTAAGCATAAATCTAAACTTGCAATTTTGCCTTGGCTCAATTACAACTTTACAGGAACATCTTTTACTTAATCCTTATTTCATATAGATTAGAGCTATCGAAAAATACCGACCGAGCTCTCCGTCCGGGCTCTAATATAACTTGTTTAAGAGCCTAAAAGTTTAGAATCCTGCTAGGTAAATTAGAATTCTGCTTAAATAACTTTAGAAAATCTTTCAATTAAAACATTTAATAAATAAATTTATCTTTTTGACTAAAATTTAATTTTAAGATTATTATTTCAATTTAACAATGATGTCCCTTCAAAGTAAATTCGGAGAACGTTTTAAAACATTAATTGTTTTACTAACAAAATGGTGTAAAAGTAAATTTAAATTTAGTCATCTTTCAAAAAAATAAATAATTAATTAAGATCATTCAATTTATGGCGAAAATTTTGGTTTTTTGAATGACAAAGCTTTAACTACTTTGGCTTATTATTTGCTTGTTAAACATAAAAATCTGCCTTTAGTGCAAATTTTGGGGCATTTTCATTTAATTTTTGAGAAAAAATTTGAATTAAAATTTGAAGAAAAAGTTGAAGTTCACAAAAAGAAAATGAAGGGAGAAACAAAAGAAAATTTTGAAATTAATTTTAGTAATGAACATAATTATCCAAATAAATGGGTAATTTTAAATTCTGAATTTTACAAAGAAAATGTTTTACAAAAATTAAACAAATCAACAGAAGAAATAATTCTTCGTCAGATGAAAATTGGTTTTATTTTTAAAATAATTCTGATTTTTTTGTAAAAAATTTTAAGGTTCTGAAAAGTTAAATTATTTGAATGAAGAAATAGCGAAAGGATCCTCTGTTGGAATAATCAAGGAAAAATCGTTAGAATGGTTGGGAAATGATAAAACCTTTGTTGAGCAGGTTATAAGTTTATAAAAGGGTTGTTAATGAGTGATCAGACTTGATCCATCCAGTGAAAAATGGCAAATTATCGAGTACTTTTAAGTATTTAAGATTTATTCGGATTGGATAAAAAATTATGAAACATAAATTATGAAACATAAAATGTCTTTTAAAAACACATACCGTTATAGAAAATATAAAAAAATAAGAAAATTAACCGAAATAAAAAAATATAAAAATAAATTTTAGTATGAGAATTTATTGCTAATAATCTGTTCACATTCAAATGATTCATTGAGAGGACCTCAGTTTTGTGAGTATGTTGAATCAAGTCTTAAAGAAAAGCTTCAGAATGAAATAGAAAAATTAGGAGATGTTGAATATATTCATATTAACCCGTTAAAATGGTTAGATTCTGAAAATTGCCCTAAAAGTTTGATAGAAATGAATAAAAAGTTGGAGGTAATTTTGTTAGATTAAATTTAAAAAAATACTAATTTTAAGGCAAGTTTGTGTACTATTTGGGTAGCTGGTTTAAAACAAAAAGAAAGCAAAATTAAAGAAGAGTTTAAAAAGAAATTATCCAATTATCAGAAAAATTTGAAAGAAGATTTTGAGATGGAAACGAAAGAAGTTTCGAATAAAGTTAATGATTTTGTGCTTTACTTTAAATATTTGAAGAGAACTGAGTTGGAAAATATTATTCCAAAAAGAAGAAAAGAGAAAGGAGGAGATTAGTAAAGATGTAGATAGTTGGATATCATGTTGGATATGAAAGGCATGGAGCTCTTTTATTGGGGTTTAAAGTCGGAGTGTTATGTCTTTGTCCAATGTCGTGGTTTATTTTAAATTTTTTTATTTAAAAATGGGGTTGGGGTAAAGCAAAAAAATTTTAAACTCTAACTTTTTAAATTTTTTATTTATGATTAATTTTATTTTTTAAATTTTTATTTTATTTTTACAAATTTTAAAATTTTTTAGTATGATAGAATTACATAAATTATATTTTAATGCATATGTATACATTTATAATTATGTTTAAAAGTAAATCGAAAATGCCGTATTTACAGGAACTTGATATAATAAATGTCGGAAATCATTATTATCGAGGCTCGCATCGACATAAGACTATAAAATTATTCTAAATTTTTATTGAGCCTTTTTATTGTTCGGATTTCCTTCCTTTTTGTTATTAATGGTTTTAAATTTCCCAAACGGTGCAATAAGCGGAAACTTTTCCTCTTCACCTCGAGCGGTGATTTCTCCCCGATCGGAGTGAGCGTTCCTTTTAACATTAACTCTATCAAAGCTTTTTACAAGAAAAGGAAGGAAAAATGAACAGAGTCTAAGGATCGCGACTGACATTAATATCGATTAGAAAAATAATTAAAGTTAAAGCAATAAATTAAATCTGGGAAAATTGAGTCTTAACGTTCTGGAATTCTTAAACATCTGGAATTGAACATATTCAGGGTTGGAAGTACTTTGAACTGGGTTGAGATCCTAACAATTAATAAATTTAGAATAATTTTATAATTTTATTTTTAGTAAAGCTCGACAATTATTTCAAAATTTTGGATTTCTGTATCAAAAACGAATTTCTGTAACAAAATTTTGAATTTCTGTATCAAAAACGTCGTAATAGAATTTTCGATTTACCTTTATTTTTGAAAAATTATATACATTTTTCATGTTTTATTTTATCAGTAAATGCATAAATTTTCAAGTCTATGTATTACATTTTTCTACTATGATATCCTAACTTTGCGGTTCGGTTCCATATCCGGAGATTTCAAATAATAAACAACCATACTTCTTTAACTTTTAAAAATTTGCTTATTTTTTTACGTTAAGCAAACAAAACATGAATTTCTGTTTTGACACAAGGAAATCTGTGATAAAATATTTATACTAAAGCTAACTAAAATATAATTAATATGTATTTATTTATTTTCTTTGATTGTTAACTCATTATTTCAATTAATCGTTATTTGCCTTTGAATTCATTTTTTAAAATTTAAATTTATTTATTCTTTAAATTATTTTAAAATTCATCTGAATTACCCAAACCAAAAATAAGCGCAAAATGTTTGCTGAAATTTTTTTGCATCTAACACCTGCCTGTTTTGTCGAATGTACACGACTGATACTAATTTTGTTTAACATAATCTAAATTTTTTACAACGTTGATAATGCAATCATCACATCATTAATAAATTATAGATTATTCAAATCAATTTAAGAAAAATTAACTAATTAAATTATTACAAAATTTAAAAATACATTTAAAGTAAAAAACTAATAATAGAGGGGAAGTTTTAATTAGTTTATATTTAAATATTTTAA